TCAGAATTGTGTTGTGTGATGATTGCTGTGGCAGCAAGTCGTAAGGAAGGGAAGAAAAAAGGCTCGCAGAAGGGTAGAAAATGGGCCAAACAATGGTTTATTGATAGGGAGAAGTTCACCCACGAAAAATTACTCAATGAACTGAGAGTAAATGAACCAAATGATTTCCGCAACTTTTTACGAATGAACGGAGAATTATTTGATGAACTCCTTGCTTTGGTTGCTCCTGAAATCGAAAAAAGGAACACTATCATGCGCGATGCAATTCCTGTAAGCCAACGGTTGTCCATAACTCTACGATATCTCGCTACCGGGAATAGCTATGAAGATCTGAAGTTTTTAACTGCTGTGTCACCTCAGTCAATAGGGCAAATAGTTATGGAAACATGCACTGCTTTAATCAACTGTCTCAAGGAATACATTAAGGTAAGTTCTTTTTCCATTTCAAATCCTTTTATTTATACATTCAAAATATTGGCATACATTTGCTAGAACAAAACTTGACATTGTACATAAGGTATACCTACATAAGGTATACCTAGCCTACATGAAGTTGGAAAGTAACTGTCTTAATGCAAAGTAGTGTAATATCCACCTGTGTGTTGCGAGGAGGCACTTGCTGATTCATACTGAGGGAATGAAGGGGAAGGGAGGGACTGAACACTATATGGTGTGGCCACACGTGAGACGTTAATTTCAACTGAACTACGGTGTAAGGTTCCCATTTGTCCCTCAAACAGTATCTCATTGATGGCCTTCTTTGCAAACAACTGCTGTTGTGGATCCATTTTTCGGAGCTCGACTGCCCAAGCTGCAGCAACTATGTCACTGTCGTCTTGTGGTTGTTGATGGCGTTTGGAGGCCAATTTCACCAATTCCTCAGTGGGATCTGGAGCTTTACGTTTCCTGTTCTTTTGACGAGATTCATCATCCACCTGAGGAAAAGATTAAAGTTAATTAAGTTTAAGTATAAGGTTGGGCATTTAATAAATGTCCTTTAATAGATGTCCCTAACCTATCCTAACCCAACCTAACCTAACTAGACTGAATATCACGACTTTACTAAAGTTTCGATTCCTTGGGTAATAGATAGGAAGAAAATAACTTCAGAAGCGAATAACTCAAAACTATTTATTTCTCCCAAAAATTAATGTTATATACGGAAATGAATGTTACTTTGAATAATGCTGAGATAAAACCACTGCGAGATGAAAATTGTCTGCACTGCTGATGGTTACGGTAATGAACAGAAAACGACGCCGAAACGGATGGAAAATGTAACGTCACATACGTCACATCAAAATGTTATATGTTATATATCCTTTATCAAGTTGTTTTTCTTTGTTGCAGGTACCAACTACAACCCAAGAATGGAAACAAATTGCACAAGATTTCTACGATCAGTGGAATTACCCCAACTGCCTGGGTTCAATCGACGGCAAGCATGTCGCAATCAAGAAACCTGACAATTCTGGATCCCTTTACTTCAATTATAAGAAATTTTTCAGCATTGTGATGATGGCAGTGGCAAATGCCAACTATGAGTTCATGATGGTTGATGTAGGAGTCAATGGAAGAGTATCGGACGGTGGTGTAATCAGTTACACGAAATTCGGGCAGGCGCTTGCTGGTAATACATTGGAAATTCCGAAACCAACACAACTGCCGAATAGTCAGAAAATATTGCCATTCGTTTTTCTGGGAGATGATGCCTTCGGACTAACCGAAAATGTTATGAAACCTTACCCCCAATCAGCATTAAATGTGAATAGAAGAATTTTCAATTACCGAATGAGTCGTGCTCGTCGTGTGATCGAAAATACCTTTGGGATCTTGGTCAGCCGATTTGGTGTGTTACAGAAGCCAATAGCACTCTCTCCTGAAAAAGCTCGAATAGTTGCCTTGGCATGTTGTTATTTGCATAACTTTTTACGCAAGCGACATTCACGAGCTTATGTCACAACGCAACTCGTGGACTGTGAGGATTTGCAGGCAGGTGTCATCACGAAAGGGTCATGGAGGGATGTTGTAAATGAGATAACACCACTTCTGCCAAACACTACCTCCAGAAACGCAACAAATAGTGCTAAAGCAGTCAGAGAAACCTATTCTGATTACTTCAACAATGAAGGCCAGGTTTCATGGCAATGGAAAAATGTCGGCGCACTTGGCTCGACCAATAACTGAATCGAGAAGAGTATCCTCAATAGTAATAAAAATTGAAGAACATTAAAATAAATAGTTAAATCATGAGGTACCTCGAAAACTAAGCATTTTTCCGAGAAATGGTATTCATGAAAAACGTCTTACAATGTGTTATTTTACCTATAGAGTGTCAAATAAAAAAAATCCCTAACCTAACCTAATTAAACCTAACATAACCAAACGTAGCCTAACCTAATTTAAAGACGTTTTCATGAATAACATTTTTCATCAAAATGCTTCGTTTTTTAGATATAATGTGTGGCTCATCCAATGTTCAAAGGATCAATAACCATCTTTCCGCAGCACAGGGACAATTTTTTTTTTTTGGTTTCCACATATATTTTAGGGTGTGTAGAATGTAATTACATACATTTCTTTATGAGGTCCTGTTCTGCATTATTATCAATAATAGGTTGATATTATGTAAGAGAAAGATAAACTTGTAGAGAAACTTAATAAAATAGGCCACTTACCGCTCTGGTTTCATTTGCGTCGCAACGATCCTCGTTGTCATGAACATCCTGAGATATGTCCATCGTGCTGATTGAAGCGGTAGGTGTTTCCTGAGTTACAAGAAACTTCATTTCGTCAAAATACCAAAGTGTAGGTTCCACATCCTCTGCACCGGCACCACTTCTCTCTGCATCGCGAATCCTTTTTAATTCTTTCCGGAAGTTTGTTCGCAAAGAATTTACTTTTTTTACTACTTCTTGTTTCTCAGCATCCAGATATTTTCGGTACTTTTCTATCAGCACATCGTACTGCTCCCCCTTTTTGGCAAGATTTGTATAATCTTTGCATTTCACATCCCACAGGGCGGGAAGACCACGATACACCTCAATAAATTCAGCAATGAATTCTTTTTCGGCTTTCTTGTCACCCATGATACGCGTGGTTGAGGAGAGAGACAAACACCTCACACGACCGCTGGAGAGAGACTGACAGGATATTGCGCAATATAGCCAACAGACAACACAATATTATCCCGTTTGCGCAATATATTTTTAAGTTTTTGAAAATCACACAATATATTGCACAACCTTTCAATATTGCCCACACACGATCAATTATATTGCACAAACCAAAATATTGCGCAATAATATTGAACGTCTAGGGGCCGCTTAAGTGTTAACGCGCCGAACCGCGGTTGATTAAGAAGGGCATTCAATCAGGCAAGGGTGACACTGCCATATAACCTCTCAATACTGAATTGAGAAAGGCCTATGTCCTGCAGTGGAATGAATGGCTGTTGAGAGAAAATATATATATATATATATATATATATATATATATATATATATATATATATATATATATGTAAAAAATGCATATGCACATGTATGCATTTATACACACACATATATATACATGCATGTATATATATAGATATATATATATATATATATATATATATATATATATATACATATATATAAATATATATAAATATATATATACATATATATACACACACACTTACATATATGCACACACACACACACACACACACACACACACACACACACACATACACACACACACACACTTATACATATATGTATATATATATATATATATATATATATATATATATATATATAATTATGTATATATACATATATATATATATATATATATATATATATATATATATATATATATTTATATATATATATATATATATATATATATACATATAATTATATGTGTGTGTGTGTGTGTGTGTGTGTGTGTGTGTGTGTGTGTGTGTGTGTGTGTGTGTGTGTGTGTGTGTGTGTGTGTGTGTGCGCGCGCTCGCGTGCGTGTGCGTGCACGTGCGTGCGTGCGTGCGTGCGGGCGGGCGGGCGGGCGGGCGGGCGGTCGTGTGTGTGTGTGTGTGTGTGTGTGTGTGTGTGTGTGTGTGTGTGTGCATATATGTAGGTGTGTGTGTGCATATATGTAGGTGTGTGTGTATATGTAGGTGTGTGTGTATATATATGTATATATTTATATATATTTGTGTGTGTGTGTGTGTGTGTGTGTGTGTGTGTGTGTGTGTGTGTGTGTGTGTGTGTGTGTGTGTGTGTGTGTGTGTGTGTGTGTGTATACATATATATGTATACATATATATGTATACATATATATGTATACATATATATGTATACATATATATGTATATGTGTATTTATATATATATATATATATATATATATATATATATATATATATGTTTATGTATATATGTACATGTATATACATATATATATATATATATATATATATATATATATATATATATATATATATATATATATATGTATATATATGTTTATGTATATATGTACATGTATATACATATATATATATATATATATATATATATATATATATATATATATATATATATATATATATATATGTATGTATTTATAAATATGTACATATGTACATATATATTTATATTTATATTCATATATGTGTGCGTGTATGTATATATATATTCATATATATGTGTATATATACATATACATATACACACACAACACGATTTTTTTATTGTGGAAATTGAAAAAAAGCAATCGCTATGTTTATTAGATCATGTAATTACGTAACTTTAATTTTATCGGTCTCCCAGATTAGTTCTATATCAGAATGGGTGGTTGATTTTTTATATAATTTTAATGCTACATGTGATGGTAATGGTGATAATAAAATTACTACTACTACTAATATTAATGGGTGAGTGCTTCATGCTCAGGATGATGTGAAGCGATGATGTGTCCTAGTTAGTGTTAAGTACTTTGCATGCCTTCTCG